CCCCAAGTTTATCAGTAACTTAAGTTACTGTCACGGGTCACCCTCATTAAATAAAGTCTTTCACTTCACTTCACTTCACTTCACTTCAGAACTACCCTCATCCGGACGATCACACTATATGAACTACCGATGCTCCTGGGTTCAAACCATTTACTATGTGCACATACTTATTGTCAAATTTATCAGTAAATTAAATTAGCTGTAAGGAAGAGTTTCTGTTGTGCTGGTATGTCACTAATTTGTCAATAACTTACTAGAGAGGTGTTGCTGCTGCTTCTTTCTTTGCAACATCTGTCTTTGCCAGTTGGTCAGTGCATTATTTTCATTTATCTTCAAAGAGCAAAGAGAAAGTACAATTTTTTTATGAAGACAGGGAAAAGGATAATTTTTTTTCATCCATCTATTATTAATACACAACATTGTAAACGGTAAGCAATAAATTATGCATTTTTTAATTTAGTGAACAATACAACAAATTAAACATTTGCAATAATTATATAATACAATTAGTGAACAATAAAAGAAAAGCCAAGTGCATGCATTTTTAGTACACAAAGGAAGAACCAATAGCTGGAGAAACAAAAGACAGAGAGATCAGCTGATCTGAGAGCTTAACATCTGCCTGCTAGTAGTCCTATATGTGTACAAAGTTCAAGAAATTAATTATGCATCAGACTTTCTTGAATTAAGATTGCGCATGAGTTACAACTTTATAATGCATTCACACAGTATAGTTTGCAATACATTTAATTAATGACCTAAACTAAGAATAAAACTGGAACTGACTAACATTTAAATTTACACGTATTAGAAGCAATGTCATGTCCATCTTAATATCTTTTATTGATAATTTTAATTTGAATAACTCAATGGCATTTGCACTTACCCTTGTTTGCCAAACATGGCTGGAAAACTTCTTTTCCTTTTTCGTGCCTTTTGTTGTTGGCCTTACTTTGCCAGCACCAAACTATCAACAGAATCATAGTAAACTTTTCAAACTCTTCTTTACATACTCACAGCATACACATGTACACACACATGTATAGTACTACGTAGTAAGGAAAAACAATTATAGACTGCTAAAGGGTTGCTGAAGAACTAAGGATTGCTCAAGGTCAAAGCTTTGGTATATTTTTCTATTCTTTTCTTAATATATTTCTGTTTTCTTCAAGCCTTTGGTTTCAGGACTGGGCTCAGAGTAATAATAACCTAATAATTAATCACGTCCTCAACACAGGTGGTCAAGCATCAGAAATTAAAGCATGCACTGTACGCAGGAAAGCAACTCTTTGTCAACTCAATTTTTGTCACGACCCTTTCAATTTGTATTATGACATGGACAAATCAATCATTTTTTCTAGATTAATTTTCCTTTCTGGAAGTGACTTTCTTTGAATTTAGTTTTAAATTTGATCCATGTTTACTATATGAATTTGAATAATTTAAAAGTATGACTGTGTTTTTTCTCATTATAACCTACTGCACATAACATACAAAACTCTATAAATTGCAAAAATACTTTCTTTTTACAGATAAATACATGTAACAGAATGAGATGTTTTACAACAACCAGTCACAATTCCTACCTTGTAAGCAGAGAATGGAGGTAGATTCTGAAATTAAACAACGAAGTGAAAAGTATGCAATGTCAGTACGGAACTTGTTTAAATACTTGCAACAGCTTTTATTAAATTGCTATGGATTGTACTGGTCATCATTAATATATGATCTTTACCTAGAACTAACAACAATAAAACAATGTTTATCAACAACTTATCAAATAATGTAATTTCAAGGACAGTGTACCCAGGCAGCATAATGAACAAAATATTTCAATTTCATTTATGCTGACTGTTTGAATATGAATGATATTTTGAAACTTATAAATCAATATTTTCAACACAAATATTAGTGATTTAAGACATACATGAC